CATAATCGATTTTATGGTGATATTATGTGCATGTTTTTTTTTTTTGGTGAATTAAGATGCCCTGCAGTAAATATTCCTTTCAGTATTCGTTGATTGAACATAACCAAGTCAGATGGATAAGGCAGCCAAGGCGACTTTGGAGCTACATCTGGATATTTAGGAACACCATTCAATTACTGATCGTACGAACGGACTGGGTTAGCAGGCATGAACATATTTCTAACTAAGCCTCACCTCTACTGCTTTTATTAAATCCTATCATCATATTGCATGATTATTGCAGATTTGACTGTGATATATTTGCCTGGTATACCCTTATCAGATTGGGTGTCATGATGGTTTATAAGACTTCGACAATTTGTACCCAGCGTCGCTTTGTTGGTGCCTTGCTCTCTCACTCAATAATAATAATAATAATAATAATAATAATAGTAATAATCATAATAATCATAATAATGATGATAATAATGATAATTTTTTTTTTTTTTAATTTTTTTAAATTTAAAAAAATTTTTTTTTTTTTTGTCAGTGGAAAGTGTCATGACACCATTTCTAACCTTAGGTCCCTGGGCGGGACCCGGAAAGAAATTTGTAAACGCCAGAAATCAAAGAAAATAAAAATAATAATAATAATAATAATAATAATAATAATAATGATAATGATAATAATAATAATATCTACCCACAAAGCAGACATTAAAAAAAAAGAAGATTCTTTATCGATGTGGCTGTTCATGAAAGAAGGTTGTAAATATAAACGAGATTTACATTTAGTAGATTCTGTAGATAAACCGAAACAGAACCGTGTGTGTATTTGTCAAATAGTTTACTTGGCTGTTTCACATGATTTTATTGCTTTTATTATGTCCAGTCCAAGGCCTCTGAACGGGAGATTGAAGGTTTTCAGGAGCACGGAACCATCTCTTAATTGCTGATGTTCACAGGTCCACTAATAAATAAATAAATAAATATATATATATATATATATATATATATATATATATATATATATATATATATATATATATATATATATATATATATATGATTAATCTAAATATGAAATATATCACAGCGTGGTGAATAGAACTTTTATCAGGTAAGAAACAAGGTTACGATCTTTATTGCAAAATTACGATCATCACGATTAAAGGCTGAAACGGAGAGCTTTATTCTTGCAGCTGAAGACTAGAGTCTTTTCACTCGAAACCTTCAGGCAAATATCTTACATAATTGTGGGGATCCAAAATCCACGTTCTGTGACAAATATCCGGGTAGCATATCATAGACTATTTAATCTCAGGATGTTCTGTACTTGCGCCAAATGAATATAACAATTGTCACGATAGAGGGGGGGATATTTACACTGGACTATGTGCAAACACTTTGGAAAAGATGTTAACAAATAGTTATGAACATCACCCAGCACCGTTTATAGAAATAGAAGCCATCACAATTCTATCGGATTACACTATATTTACAGACAGGAAGACTGAAGTATAGAGGTCGGGCATAATTTTCAAAAATCGAAAAAAAAAACAAAAACAAAAACAAAAAGACAAACTTGTCTACGAATCGATATGGCTTTCCTAGCGGATTGTAGCATAGCAACAAATGAATTTGAAAAACTATCGAAGTATAAAGTCTAGTAAATTGAAATAGAAAAAAAACTTGGGAACTGAAAATAAGAGTACGTCCTGTCATTGTAGGTTCGCTTGGAATAATAAAATAGGAACACAAGAACATATTGAAAAAATCCCTGGAAATCCCAGCTTAAGAGAAAAAAAAATTGGTTTGATAAGTACAGACTATACACTAAGAAGAACTTTGTTCATGTAATTTTAGTGATGTTATAGGAGTTAGAAAAACAAATCATAAAAAGGTATCCCTAACAACACAACACTACCTGCTTTTGGTCTTTACGCAAACTTGGTAGATAGTGTGACCATAGAATAAATCGAAATATAATTATGATTATAAAAATTAATCCCGCTAGAGGTTACTAGAACGTGGACGTTCAGGCCACTGTTGTCCCTGTTATCATAGGAGTGTCGGGGTTTATACTAATAAGGACCTGTAACAATTTTAAGGGACTTTAAAATGCACACAGACAGAACGATCAACGTTAATCGCCCAGATATAGCGATTAAAGATCACAAAAACAGAATGTGCTTTTTTTTATTGACATGGCTGTCCCTGCGGATTGTAATTGAACATCTACAAAAAAACAAACAAAAAAAACCCCCAAACCCCCAAAAAACAAACAAACAAAAAACTATCAAAATACAAGGATCTTGAAATGGAAATCTAAAAATATGTGACACATGAGGACCTCAATAATTCCAGTTGTAGTTGGAACCATCGGATTGATTGGAATAGTTTCCCATAGACTCATTGAAGGGATTCCTGGTAGCCCATGCCTTAAAGAAATAAAAAAAAAAATTGTACTCACAAGTACAGCTCACATATTACAGAGACCTTTATCAATATAAAATATATGTGATCTTGTTTTTTGTAAATGCTCAGTGATCTTGTTTTTTGTAAATGCTCAGTGTCACGAAGCCATTTCTGGCCTTAGATCTCTGGTTGGGACCCGGAAGGAAATGTACATGCAGCAGAAATCAAAAGAAGAAATAATAATAAAAATGATAATAAACATCTTTGCAAAGGCCTTTTAAAAACTAAGCAAATACAAAAAATTGGAGATGGAATTAAAAAGAAAGTGGCACTTAAAAATTAAAACTGTTCCGGTTGTGGATGGAGCTTTGGGTCTGATAAAGAAAAGAACTCAAGAACAAATCAACAAAATCCCTGGTGCCAAGGAAATTGCCAAAAATAGATTTGACAAGCCAATATTCTGCGAAGAGTTTTACCCATTTATTTTTTGTTTTTGTTTAATGGAATGGGATTATAAAACAATTGCAAATCAAAAAGATTTTTATAATAATAATAATAATAATAATAATAATAATAAGTCTGTCCAAACTTGACAGCGAAGAAATGCAAGTATCTTCAGGATAGGACTGGATATTATATTCCCCGAAAGAAATGTCAATGACCCTGGAAAAAGTTTTAGAAATCCATTAAATTAATATTCTTTGAGAATAGCAAATCTGGAGAGAGAAGGACCTCACTAGAAGACCATTAATAGATGAAAATCTACTGACAAATATTTGCCGGAATAACCATAGCACAAAATATGAAACATTATGCTTTTCGACAACATGGAGATCTTTTTCTTTTTCTTTGTTTATTTGGCGATGTTACTTTATAATTCAATGGTGGGCGGAAGTTATTTTTTTGCTGATGAAATATGGAAATCTGACTGAAAAAAAAAATAGTTCGTAGTAATTGCTTGTATCCACAGTTCCTTTATTGAGAGTTTTTTTTTTTTTTTGTTTTTATCGAGCGTTACTTCCTCAGGCTCGCCTAATTGACCGGCAACGTTTAAGTGGCAACATCAAACACAAAGTGAACTGTTTAATTTATTTACCTGACAAGGTGTTTTCACCTGGCCGTTGTTATTTTTCCGAGATTTTTTCCCCCCGAAAAACAGCTCCATCTACCGTCATTCTTTGGATATTTTCTTTCCTCTTTCTTTCCATTTTTGTTTAATTTTTTATGGATTTTAATTCTTCGTTTTCACTTCCTTCATTTTACTTTAGTAAAAAAAAACAACAACAAAAAACAAAAAGAAAGAAAAAAAAACATTAAAGAAAATAGTGAAAGGCATCTCATAGGTAGCTTTGGAGACCATACCATTGTGTGCAGTTCGATCCTCACTGGGTGCTAAATATATTAAATCCCTATCATAGTGTTTAGCTGTCAGCTTAATTCTAAGTTGTCACAGAATCTCCATGCTTTAATATTTAAATATCATTTTTAGAATAAGTAATCAATGGTAAAACCGTACGAATACACCATCGGTAATGAACTGGAAAGTTGAGTACTATATATAAAATTTAGAGGCACCATATAGGTTTTTACTTCCTAACCTTGAAATTGTAACTTGGTTTCGTAGACTATTCTTGCTATATAGAGTTTGTTCTAATCTTCCTGCCTCACAGGTGTTCTTGTAAATAAGTAATGGAAGAATTGTTACAAGTTAGTCTCCAAGGATATAACAAATGCAGTATACTCGAGTTTCACTGAATGACTTACAATTACGACTTTTGTATTTCTGAAATAAGCTTATTTAACTATTCTAGTTTTCCGATCGCAATTTTGGAAAATTATAATATTTTAATTACGTCGTCTCGCCGACTATTATTGATAAACGGTGTGTCGAAATGCTAATAAATATATATTTGTGTATTTAGACAGCAAATGCTGCTTAAATACACAAATATATATTTATTAGGCATGTCTGATTGAATAAATTACAGATATAATATCTGCTAATTTTTAATAAAATCCATTCATACTTACGAATAATCTTCCATGTATTGATGTTAAAGGATGAGAGAAATGTGCTATAGCTGTTTAGTGTCCTTTTAGTTTCATTTCCCAAGTATAATGCAAAAAATTCCGGTAATGAATAACAACACACAACTTTGTATAAATATTTGTGCTAATGAACAACATATAGTTTTGTACTACTTGCATCCCTGAAGATGATCTTGGAAGAAGAACGAAAGTACTTGGGAAAGGAAAATAAAAGAAATTTAAACAGCTATAGCACATTTCTCTCATCCTTTAACATCAACACACGGAAGGTTATTCGTGAGTATGAAAGGACTTTGTTAAAAATTATCAGACACAATATTTATAATTTATTCAATATATATATATATATATATATATATATATATATATATATATATATTCTGTGTATTTAGGCAGCAGATGTTCTTTAAGAACATTTTATTGCAGACAACAGACACTTTGTGTCGATTAATTTTACTGAATAACTTTTCAAAATTGCGAATGTTCCTTCGTAGACAAAGAGGAAATTCCATCAGAAATTTCGGAAGAAATATAGTGTAAGATTTTTGTAATCATCAGTGAGTGTTATGACGTAAGAAAAGAATGTTGTGATGTGTGCAAAGAATGTTGTGACGTAGACAAAAAATGTGATGTAGAAAAGGTGCTTCTTCTTTTCCTTCTTTCTTTTTATGTAGATACATTTGAGGATGCGGGCTCCATATATGATGGAAAGAAAGGACAGAAACTAAAGGAAACAAAAGAAGAAATAAACGCAGAAAGGAAGAAGGAGAGAAATAAAAATAAGAAGGTTTTGTCGTTCTTGGTATAGGTATACATATTTCTCACCTGAGTCAAAGTACAATGGCCCGACTTTTGAATGCTGATCTTATTCGAACTAAGCAAATGCGAACCCAGACTCATAGGGAGCTCGCTGGATATATATATATATATATATATATATATATATATATATATACAGTGTAACCCGGATATAAGAGATCTGGATATAAGAGAAACCCGGATATAAGAGAGATTTTCTCTGATCCCAAATTAGAGCCTGTGTTAATGTATATAAAATAGACCAAACCCGGATATAAGAGAAACCCGGATATAAGAGACTTCTTCTCCGGTCTCGACAACTCTCTTATATCCGGGTTACACTGTATATATATATATATATATATATATATATATATATATATATATATATATATGATTCATTACAGACGACAGGCAAGGCACTTCGATTAAGATTTTTATTTAATTTTTCTTGCGTTCGAACAAGTGTTTTCATTTTCCGACACAGAGTGTAGAAACTGTCCACATGCCCCTTAAGTATATGTGTTCCTGATCAAACCGAACTCATAAATAATTATATCGGTCATACTACTACATGCCTATCCAGACGCCTTACGTGACACCTATCCGACCACAACTCTATCAGAACCCACTTAAACACACACAAACATACCTGACTCCATCCGAAGCATACCAGAAGAAAATGCAAGCCTACTAACCTCATCCAGATGTAAGAAAAGATTAAAAATAATTGAAGCCTTTATAATAAAAAGAAAACGTCAACACTCAATAATATTAACTACAAACACGGCCACAGTGTGCTAACTTCGTTCGGAAAAAAAAAAAATCTCTATAACTCTAGAAACATGCACACAACCCATACATCCACTTAAAAGTAAAAATAAAATGATCCCTGATAACAGCTAAATGTATAGCCGAAAGCGCTTTCAAAAACAGAACATTTGCACAGAAAAGAAAACACTGGTTCGAACGTAAGAAAAATTAAATAAAAAGCTTAATTATAGTACCTTCTATAACGAAACATGTAGAAATGAAAAAAAGCCTTGAATACCCTGATATGGAACCAAAACCAGCACCGACCTGAATCGTCATAACACTCAAAAGCCTGTGTTTCAATGTCTGAGAAAAGTATGACGAATCATTTCAAGGAATTCGGCAGCAGATTTGATGAGATCCAAGAAAAATGTAATGAAAGCACATTGCTTGAATTTGTCAGCCACCGGAAAGATTGTAGAGCCGTTCTAATACAACATTACAATGCTCGCGTGATAGCACAAAACCTATTGAAACAATAGGCGGTCTAGCATCGAACATTAGCTACGCATACATTTCCATTTGAAGGTACAATCATAGTGCTTACAATCCGGCAACTTTCTGATACCGTAATTAGAGTGAGTGAACGTTTTGACGAGATAATATGGAGATAGCCAGAAAGAGGACACCTTTTTCGAAAACTATTGTAAATTGTTTTTCTCGTGAATACGCCAGTGGAGAACGGATTTCAAACAGGATTTCTTCTTTTTCCTTGTGTGTGTGTGTGTGTGTGTGTGTTGTGTGTTTTGTATTTTGTTTTTGCTTTGTTATTTTAAAAAATTTAACAAGAGAAATGGAGTTAAATGCAACACGAATAGAACTTAAGCGGGAAAATATCAAAGACACTGTGAACCAAAGATAAAATCGTCGCATTGTCAGAAAAGAGAAAAGAGAAAAGGGCGATTGTGGAACGTTGTTTGTTGGTTTTTACCGTTTCCTTTGGCAATCTGCCCATTTTTGGATTGGCAGACCGGTGTCTTGGTGGTGGCGGCGGGTGGTGGCGGATATTTCGGAGGATGCTCAGCGGGGTGGGGTATGTCATTGATAAAAGGAACTGGAATTTGAAAAGAACGAAGAAGACAATAGATGATGGCGATGAAGATGTTGAAGAAGAAGGAGAAAATTATGTTGAAGAGGTGATGAGGAATACAGAGCAAGATGAAGAAGAAGGAGAAAAGAAAATGACAAAGAAGAAGAAGAGAAAATACGATAGTAATTAAAAATGAAATGATGGAGAACAAGAAAATGATGATAATGAAGAAGAAAGGAAGGAAGGGAGAAAGAAAGAAAGAAAGAAAGAAAGGGAGTAAGAAAGGAAGAAAGAAAGGAAGGAAGGAAGGAAGAAAGAAAGAAAGAAAGAAAGAAAGAAAGAAAGAAATGGAGAAAGAAAGGGAGGAAGGAAGGAAGGGAGAAAGAAAGAAAGAAAGAAAGAAAGGAAGAAAGAAAGAAAGAAAGAAAGAAAGAAGAAACAATGAAAGGAAGGAAGGAAGAAAGAAAGAAAGAAAGAGAAGAAAGAAAGAAAGAAAGGAATGGAGTAAGAAAGGAAGAAACAATGAAAGAAAGGATGGAAGGAAGAAAAAAGAAAGAAAGAAAGAAAAAAGGAAGGAAGGAAAGAAGGAATAAAGAAAGGAAGAAAGAAAGAAAGAAAGGAAGGAAGGAAGGGAGTAAGAAAGGAAGAAAGAAAGGAAGGAAGGGAGAAAGAAAGAAAGAAAGAAAGAAAGGAAGAAACAATGAAAGAAAGGAAGGAAGGAAGAAACAAAGAAAGAAAGAAAGAAAGAAAGAAAGAAGGTAAGAAAGAAAGGAAAAAACAATGAAAGAAAGGAAGGAAGGAAGAAGAAAGAAAGAAAGACAGAAAGAAAGAAAGGAATGGAGTAAGAAAGGAAGAAAGAAAGGAAAAAACAATGAAAGAAAGGAAGGAAAAAAGAAAGGTAGAAAGAAAGAAAGAAAATGTTTTAAAAAAAAGATTTGATGGCACAGCTAGATACAAATATCCACACGCAAATAATGATAAAAGTCTGAGAACATCATTCCTTCCAAGTCTGAAAAACAACAAAAGAGTTCCTATATTTGACTGTTTTATACTAAAGTTCACCCAATACTAGATTTAAGAGTGATTCAAGGTGGAGGGGGGCACTGTATTTTTGATGAACAAAGTAGGTAGTAAGAAGGTGAAGATTGTAAAGAGGATCAGTCAGTTAATGTACTATGCGAGATACACGCTTAAGCGATCATGTATCTTTCGATATATGACTGACGAGGCAAATTTTTTCCCGCAGTAGATTGACATTTCTTTCTGCGGTAGATCAGTTGCCATCAAAGGCTATAGAACTATTTACCCATAGCTGGGGGAGAAGAAGAGGATTAATATCTTTCACAAGGGTATCAGCACTTAAGTGAATGTAATGGATTCGACTAGAATTCGAACTCGGCTCCCCGATTCCTCAATCCCAGCCGCTATCCATTACTCCACCG